GCAGATTATTATTATTATTGCCCACGGAGGAGGACAGTAGCGCATCCCTACCCAAACCTCAGGCTGGAGATGTGGCTCAGTCTGCAGAGGGGCATGCAGTCTGAACCCCAGTATAAACACAGCTTGGGGGTGTGTGCCCATAATCTCAGAGTGCGGGAGATGGAGGCAGGAGGATTGGAAGGTCTCCCTACACAGGGAGCTCGAGGCCAGCCTGAGTTGCCAGAGACCCCCATCTCAAAACAGATCGAATCATGAGCAGCAACCCAAGCTGAGTTTTATGATTTAGCCAGAGCAATTTTAAGCGGCAGCCTCTCTCATAGCTAGCCAAGCCTCCTTTATTTACCAGAAGCAGCTAATGGGCAACCTTTGCCCTACATTTGGCCTCCCCGTGGCTACTCCAAACAGATAGTAAAGCTTTCAAAGCCTCTGCCTGGGCACTGCATAGTGTAAAGTGAACTTGGCATTGGTTACCGTGTGTAATTCTTATTCGTGGTTCACTTCACCCTCTTTGGCCTCTTAGGGAGCTTGCAGGCCACCTGTTATTGTCTTTGCAGCCAGGCAGGCCCAGGAGCTCCTGGGATTTACAGACCTACCCCTCCCGCCCCCGTCCTCTGCCCTGTCACTCCCTTAGCGCTCAGCCAATGACTTGTTTTGAATTCCAGCAGTAAACGCTGACTTGTGCAGTTTTTATTTGCATCCGTTATTGACCTCAGCAGGCCATTAGGAGCCTTTCTGTGCCTCGGGTCAGTTGCCCCTGCCCTGTGCTCACTGCAGCCCTTAGGAATGGGTGTGATGACTTTAACTTTATACACGTAGCAACCAAACAAGCTTCCTCTGTGTCCAGTGGCTGTGCTTACAGCATTTGCAAACTAGAGCCTGTATCATGTGGCCCCATTTTTCTCTATTCTGTCTTCGGCATGTTGGGTTCTTTTTTTGGAGGGGGATTCAACAGGGTTTCTCTGTGAAGCATTGGAACCTGTCCTGGAACTTGCTCTGTAGACCAGGCTGGCCTCGAACTCACCGAGATCTGTCTGCCTCCCTAGTGCTAGTATTAAAGGCATGTGCCAACACTGCTCGGCACATGTTGGGTTATTAGTGGGTGTGCAGTGCTTCCCCTGACCAATCCCAGGATGGCTCTAGAAAGTTAGGAAACATGGTATTTGAGGAGTGTTTTAGTTGACCACACAGAGGCCAGAGGGCTGATCATAGCTGACTGGGAGTTTTAAAGAGGGGGTGGTTCTTTTACAGACAACTTCAGGAGGCAGGAGAATGGCTAGAATGATAGTCCCCAACCCACCAAGAACCTGAACCAATATGGATAGAATTGGTGTCACGGAGTGGTGCTGGCACAGAGCATCCAAAGCCCTTGTTAGCATCCCTGCCACCGTAGCCTGCAAATGAGGCGCTATGACTACCCCCGGTCAACACAGTCTCCACCTTTCTCCCTCTCTTCTTATGTATCCGACTCAGGTGAGATCCGTGATTGGGCAAACCCATGGGTGTGCCCACACTTTCACAGCAAAGGCTACTGGGGAAGAAAGCCATTGGCTTGGCTTCAATACAGGGTACAGCGTGTGAGAGAGGGAACGGTAAAGAAACTGCTGACAAGACCACTCCATTTCGAGGGGGCAGGTTTTTACTGTGACGAGGAGAGAGAAAATATTCAGGGGCATCTGGACATAGGCTGTGGGAGAGAGTAATGGTGACAGAAAGATAACAAGAGCTAGAGAATGGGGCACGGTGAGAGAGAGAATAGCAAGGGATAGACCAAGAAGAGCTATAGAGGGAGTGTGGGTGGGCAAATCCCGTGGATTAGACAGAGGAGGAGTAGCTGCTGTGGACCAGGTACTTGTGATGCTGAGGGAGCCCGGAGGCCAGCATGGGCTTTGACATACTGCTAAGTGCCACAGGTATATGTCAGCTGGAGGGCCATATGTCCCCTCTGCCAGAAGTAAGGGAACTGGCTCCTTTGGGAGGGGGGGACAGAAAACCTGTTTCACAAGTTCCTGAGGAAGGCTGGCGTTTATCTAAAACAGAAATCCTTCTGCAGTCCAGCTTGAGCTCATTTCTGGATATTCGGACCTCTCGGGAGACCTAACATATAGAAACTGTGCCTCCTACCAAGAACCTTAGGTGGGTACATCCCAACAACACACTAAGGAGATAGAGGGGCTGGGCAGACTCTCCAATTGACTCTTCCTGGGTCTCCAAAAAGATAGAGGGGTAGGGCACACTCCCCAAATGACTCTTCCTGGGTCTCCAAACATGCACACACACCCTTGGATGACTGTCTCTGAGCTTGGTCACAGACTGGACAGTGTGGTGACAATGTAGGTGAAGGTGTTCTAGGAGGTGGCTTGTTGATAATTATCCCCAGCTGTCATGAGTGGCGTGCGGACTCTGGTTTGCCTGGGGCTATGGGAGGGGATTGTGGCCGTCTCCTAGCTACGCTGCTCTTTTTTGGGTCAGAGGCTGTAAGGCCAGCAGGGTCCTCACAGTGTATGTCACCTGTCTCCCCTGACTGAGGATGAGAAGGGAGTTCTTCACTTCCTTGGGTAGGATTTGACCACCTGAGGTACTGTGGTTCTTGCAAGGGCCTGCAATACTATGAGTCTTGCTGCCCTAGGTGTTATGAGCATGACCCAGCAATTGCCCCACTCCGTGGTACCGAGCCTTGAGGTAAAGCCTCAGGCAAGGACGTAGTCACATAGCACCTTTGGCCAAGAGAGCGAGTGCTGACTTGTAGAAGACAGAGCCTTGGCATCTGTTTACTGTGAAGCCCTGTCACCACGATGGCCGGTTTCCTCAGCCACCCTCCTCCCTGAGAGTAATCTTTCAGTTCATCTGGCCAGTTTATTGCCTCAGATGTGGAGTAATCAGACAGTTGACCTCAGGCAGAGAGAGCAACGGCCCTCTTGTCCTGTGGGCAGCCTCTGTCCCCTTCTTACTTCCCCCCTCTGCTCTTCAAGCCCCAGGTTTTGCCACCTCTGTGGCCCCTCACCCCCATCTCATGAGCCGGGGAACTTCTTCCTGAATGCTTCTGGCAGCCCCGAGGCTCAGATATTTGGTACAAATCCTTCCCCAGGCAGCCACTGTCTAGCCAGAAAATGGGAGCCATTGGGGCTGGCGAGATGGGTCAGCAGGTAAAGACACCTGCCACCATCCCTAACTATCTGGGTTGACTGGCAGTCGGGAGGAGAGAACCACCTCCCCCTAGTTATCCTCTGACCTCCACAACTGTGCCGTGGTACATGTGCACCCAGTAAATGATGAACGTAAACAAAATCCTTTTAAAAAATTAATGAGCAGCATAGGGCTTGGAGATCATAGCCCTGCCACGCAGCATGGACCCGGTGTGTATCACTGGTCTTAGTCACTATTGCAAAACCTCAACTTCTCCCCATTCTGCCAGAAACAGGCTGCATGGCACTAGTGTGGTGCTTTGTGGGCACAGAGTAGCTGGAGTCCTCTTTTCCTTCCTACTGCTGCCCCACCCCGCACCTGCTCATGCTGTATGGAGCGAGCCAGAGTGGGGACACAGTCACCTTGGTAACAAGGAGACTAATAATAGGTTAATAATAGGTTCTTTTTAAAACCCTGGAGTACCTCACCGCGTCTCTCTGATGGAGTTAACAGCTCCCGTAAGAGCTAGCATTGGGAAAGGCGTGCAAGACAGACACAGGGAGGGGTACCACGCTGGCAGATGCCAAAGGCTCCCAGCAGGAGGTGCAAATGAGCAGACTGCTGGGAGTCACTGGAAGACAGCCTTCTAGGATGACCTCTGCCCCCTCGGTAGCACTCCCTTGACCAGCTCAGCGGCAGAAAGGAGACCATGGGTGGCAATCGCTGATCTGACTGAAGCGTCTAAGGCAGAATGTTCCAACTAGCCAGAGCTCCAGAGGAAGTCAGATGGCCAGGAGGAGGAGGAGTTAGCCTCCAGAATCTGCACTGGGCAGGTGGATGTGGGCATGTGGCAGGGATGTTGGATCCAGATGAAGCTACACCGCTAGTAAGAAAACAGGAAGTCTGACCACTGCAAGGAACCAAATTTAGCCAACAGCTAACTATGCTCAGAGGCAGATTCTTCCCCAGATAGCCTACTGGACCCCTATGAGGGACCCCATTCGCCCACTTGAACTTTTGATCTAGAGAAGTGAGTGCTGGCCAAGGAGCATCGTGCAGAGCAGTACCTCAATAGGAAAAGCCATGCAGGGGGACTGGGCAGAACTAAGGATGCATGTGCCATCTGCCATGTTATGCTGGGGGCCCTGGGGAAGAAGAGCAATGTTTCTAGAGCACTGCACTTTTTAGGAGAGGCCAGAAACTTGGGTGTAAACCAGAAGTTTCTCATCCCACCTAGTCCCATGGCTGCTTTTAAAATAACCACACTGAAGCTTAATATGAATTACAAACTGTTTGGCCTAGTAGCTCAGGCTTATTATTAACTAGCTCTTCCAACTGAAATTACCCCATTTCTATTAGTTTATTTTTTACCATGAGGCTCCCAGCAGGAGGTGGCTTGTTACCTCACATCTTCTCTGGCAGCTGCTGACCTCTCCCAGACTCCCGCCTTCTTTCTCCCTGTATCTCTGCTTGGATTTTCCCGCCTGGCTCGGCTCTGTTCTGCCTAGCTAATGACCAAAGCAGCTTCTTTATTAAGCAATGTTAGTAAAACATATTCACAGCCTACAGAGAAGCATCCCCGGTCAATTGGGCTGTATAACATGTCTCATTTTTAAAACAGCAACAAAACCAAACACCTTTGGGGATAAATATACGCAGATTTCCTGTCTAAAGCACGATCCTTAGAAGGTTGCCACTGCCTCCCTCCTTTCTCCTCTTTATTTTTGTGAGACAGAGTCTTAACTCTGTAATGTAGGCCTGGCTGGCCTCAGATTTGTGAGGACTCTGCCTCCTGAGTGCTGGGGTTATGGGTACGAGCCATTGGCCACTCCTGGCTTATTACTGCTTTTGTTTCAGTCCTGGGGATGGAACGAAGGCCATGCTAAGCAGCTGCTCTATCCCAGCCTCCCTTTTTTGAGATGTCGCCTAATTTGAAGTCTATGGTCTTTCTTACCTACAGGGAGGATAGTGTTTCTCTTGACAACACTGGCTTCAAGCAGCAGGTAGTTTGTGTTAAAGGCTGTGAGGGCCTCTGGAGACATCAGGAGTTGCGGTGAGAATTCACCCTCCACCTGTGCCGGGGGAATGAAATTGTTGTCGGACCTGGTACCCTCATGGAACCCAACCGTTTCCGTTCTCTTTTCTACTGACTGATGACACTCTGCCTTTTCCCCACCTTCCATCACTGCCCCGAGTGACTACTTTGATAGAGGAAATTATGGCTGTCATCACTTTTCTTTTCTCTGTTTTCCTGGGATCCAGCTGGTGCCTTGGGCTCTGTCCTGTCTGAGTGGGGAGATGGTGGTCAAGACTCATGAGTGGCTGCCCCCAGCATCAAGGCCACTCAAGCTCAGCGGGCATCATCTGGTTACTTAGCAGGACTGCTGAGCGTTCACAGTCCTGGCTGGCTCCGTACCCCACCCCTCCATCTTTCTGCCCTTCTAGGCGGGTCCACATATGTAACCTGATGGCATGTAAAGTCTTCCCCAGATCTGCCTACCTGGAGACCTGGTCACTACTCAGAGCTTGGTTCTGGCAGACTCCCCTGCTGTCTCCACACCTCTCTTACACCTCCCCTAGGCCAGAAGCAGCATCTGGTTGCTGTCACCAAATCCCTTACAGAAGCCATTAAAGGGAGGAGAGGCTAATCTTGGTTAGCAGTCTGAGGGGATTCCATCCATTAAGGAAGGGAAGGCATAGCAGCAGGGAGCATGCAAGTGGAACTCCAAGAAACAGAGAGGAGACAGGAAGTGGAAGTGCCCTATAAACCTCAAGGCCTTCCATGACCCACTTCCTCTCGCTCGGTCCCAGTTCCCAAAGTTCCACAACCTTCCAAGCAAACACAGTGAGCCCACAGAGGAAGGGAGAGATTTCACATCTAAAACAAAACTTCTGGGAATGTCCAGGCTGGGAGGAGCTGTCTGGAGCTTTCCCAACAGCACATTTTTCAGTGTTACCATAGCCTCGTGGAGATGTCTAGCATTTGGGGTATGATCCCCGCTACTCATTCTGTTATAATAATGCTCGCAAGACAGCATAGGAAATGTCTATTTCTCACAGGGCATCTGTACCAAGGGGACCTGGGGTAACAGACTGGAGTCATGGCATTGTTGGGCATGGAGACACCACTCTGTGCTGCCACCAGGACCTGCGGAGTCTGCCGTTAGAGATCTTAGTTTGGGCTAAGCCCCATCCTTGGCTTTGTTGAAGAAAAGAATTTCAGGATGAGCCAGTAAGAAGCCCAGCTGGAGTTATTAAAAGGTATTTTTTAGTAAATGCAAAAAGGAAGGTGTTAGGGAATGAAGGCAACTTACCTAGGTGTGGGCTTCTGGAAGGAGGCACGGGTCACTGTCTTTACAACAGCTATACGTGGAATTTCAGTTATTTCTGGTTAGGAATCGCAGATTGGTTCCTGAGGTGCTGGCACCTGACGGGGCTGTAAGAAGGTGAACTCTGGATCATTGGGGCGCAGGAAGATAGAGCTCCTCCACTATCGACACATTAATAGGCTTGTTTGCAAGGCGTGAGGCTCTTCCTCAGGTGGTTACCTCCACTAAGGCCTTGAGCTGGGTTTATTCATATTTTAGCATTCTTATTTACCAGGTTTTCTACATAAATATTCTTTGTGTGCAGGCAACCATTGTGAATTGTGCTGTTGAGGGGCTCCAAGCAGACTCCAGAGTAGAGGGCCCCTTGCCCTTCCATGCCCCTGGAATTTTCCATCATCTTTCCATCCTGCCTCCGTGGGGAAGGTCTGTAATGAATATGGAGGGGGGTGGGGACACACACGCATGCTGGACTTGGGGTGCATCCAGTGTAGACAAGTCTACACGGCTACTTCAGTTCAGTTCCAAGCCCCGTCACTGTCAACCACTCTCATTTCCCCTTTCATTAGTGGTGACCCTCTTTCCAAGCCCAGTGAGGGCACCCAGGGCTGTGACAAAGGAGCTGAATATGGGTCACCCTGACCCTTTCCATCTCAAGTTCAGAATTAGGGTGGAAACTTAATCAAGTCGCTCTGAGACTTGCAATGCCACCGAGCTCTGCATGAGGCTCCCCAGCCCCCTCTGTCCTGATTTCCCATGCTCACTCACTACAGTCACACACTCTCTTCCCAGCGTCCTTTGGGGCTGCATGCTGCAGACATTGCTTGTACGCATAGACCCCCCCCACCCCCATAACCAGTGATGATGGGGAACACATAGCAGGGTGAACAACTTGCAAAGAACCACCACACCAGTCTTAAACTGGGGTGCTCAGAGACAGGGGTGGTGTACAAGATCAGATGGGCTCCAGTTCAAATCCCAGATCTCACCGGTAACCTCCAGAGGGGATGGTATTTGTGTCTGCCTCCCGGGATTGGTACAGACTGAACAGTAGAAGAGCAAGTAAAACTTGGAGGCTCCTCTGGCAGAAAGCAATTCCTTAACTCAAGGCTGTGGCTGCTATTTTTAAAAATATTTTAAATTATGTGTGTGTCAGGGGGTAGGGTATGTGCATGTGGCTACAGATGCCTGCAGAGGTCAAGAGGTATCAAGACCCCACAGTTAGTTATAGGCAGTTGTGGGTTGCCCCATGCAGGTGCTAGGGATAGACCTCATTCAGGTCCTTTGCCCAGAACGGTCTGTGCTCTTAATCACTGAGCCATCTCTCCAGTCCCTTGTACTTACGATTTGTAGGCAGTGCCGATTCTTTTCCAGGATCAGATGAGTCTTCTGCATTGGGAAGTCGCCCCTGCAGATGCTCAGGGAGATGAAGAGTGGGGTCTGTCTCTTCCGTGGGGTCAGGGCAGGGAGGGGGTCAGGACGAGCCATCTGTGTTGAGGCTTTTACTTCTTAAAGTATGTGGGGGGGGAGGCTGGAGGGTTGAAGGTGGGGGTGGAGCAGGGCTAGGGAAGAATTGGGAGAAGAGAGAAAGGATGGATGGAGACAGGGCTAGACTAAAGGGCGAGCTGCTGTGAGTGGGAGCTGGCCACCTGTTTCACCTCTGGGCGTCAGACAGTGAGAGGTTGGCATCTGTGGTGTCCAGGACTCTGGCTCTCACTCCTCTTTGTCTCCTTCACTTCAAGACCTGGTTCTGCTTCCCTTTTAAAAAAATAACAACCACAACAAGACTTTATTTAAAAAAAAATTAGTGCTGGGTATGATGATGCATGACTCCAGTCAAAGTACTCAGGAGGCAGAGGCAGGTGAGGCTCTGTGAGTTCGAGGCCAGCCTGGTCTACATTGAGAGTTCCAGGCCAGCCAGAGCTACATAGGAAGACCCTGTCTCAAAATAAACGAAACCCCAAAAAACACAACAAAAATTTCATGTATATTAGTATGTATGGAAATCAGAGGTGTCCAGTCCCTCCCACCCTATGTGGGGGACTGGAGTTACAGGCTGTTGTGAGCTGGGAACTGAGCTCAGGTCCTCTGGAAGAGAAGTCCACGTTCTTAACCACTGAACTATTTCTCTAGACCCCCAACAAAATCATTTTAGAATGACAGGTTCTTTTAGGAATCTAATGAGTCTAACCTTGAGAAAATTGCACTTCACAACAGGCACAGTGTTTTTTGTAAACAATCCAGATTTGGTGGCTGCTAGGATCTCAAGTAAGTACCTCTGTTTTACATCATTTTCTAAAGGGGACATCATCTTAAGGTCGAACAGGCAAACTCCTACACAAGCTTCAGAACCCAGCAAGCTTCAGAACCCAGCTAAAATGTTACCTCTTGAATAGAGCTTTCTCACTTGCCCAAAACAGCTGGACAGCTGCATTGCTTGCTCATCTCTTGGATGACCTGCATCCTGTAATCACTCATTGCCTGGTTGGTTTCCTCTACTGATTGGATTGGGAGCTCCTGTCCGTCTTCCTCACTTGTTGGTCCCAGGGTCTGGGAGTGTTGGAGGTCCAGCTATAAGTTAGGATAAGGTGTTTCCTGCAGTAAAGGTCAAGAGTCAGGGTATAAGTTAGGGTAAGGAGTTAGCTGCAGAAATAACTTCTCTATATCCTCTGACAAGGGGAGGAAACCCCATCTGGTGGAATGTCTTTTGGGGGTCTTACCAGTCTGCTGAAACAGTTGCTCAGGACTTCCAGATCATAAGTGACCATCAGCACAAGTGGAATGACCAGGAAGAAGCTTGGGAACCTGGCATTGGTCTTGAAGATGCCACCCTAAGATTAGATAAGGGAGCGCGCAGCTGGAACTATGCCAGTGGCAGTAGCTGTGGGGTCGGGGTACTTTAAAGATCCCAGCTGCTTTTGCCTGGATGACTCTGGTTCCTGGGTGGCCACCACCCTCTGCCTGCTCCCCGGGAGCTCAGAATGTAGGTGTCTCTTCCCAGAGTGTCCATGGGAAACTCCTCGCCTAGGTTCCCAGGGTATGTAGGCACTATTTGCATGGAGGATGGCCCACAGAAGTTCTGGTCCTTTGGTGGTCAAGACCTGAGTCAGAACTCAGTCACAACCTGGAGATCCTGAGCATGAAGGAGATGAGGGGAACAGCTGCTTGCAGATGGCTTTAGTATCGTACAATTGAAAACGTCTTCCATCGGTAGCACCGTTTCCTTGTGAAGGCCATGGGCATTTAGCCCAGTGACAGGAAACACTCAGCAGGCTGGAAGAAACTGTGAGGGACCTTAGAAGGGCATCAAGCTTCTGCTTCTGATGAAAAGCTCCCCCTACCTCCTGCCAAGAGTTTGTTTACCATCCATTATGCTCCCAGTTTCAGCCCCATGCCTACAGGGGGGTGGTTCCTATTTTTCTCCTTAATAACCATGGAGCTCTCACTTTATTTGTTGGTGGGGGTTCCAGTCCTAAAAATGAAGTTAGGTTAGATACAGAGGTCTCCAAAGACCTGTCTTAAGGTCTGCATCATTCTACAAAGGACAGAGGCCCATAAAAAAAAAAAAAAGTCAAGAAGCCTTCCCCAGAAGACCAAGACGTCTTCTCTACTAACTCTTGCTCACACAGCACCGCATGGACAGATGTGGCCATATCCCAAGCTACTTATTTCTGGGCATGGGGACAGGTCTCTCAGTGAGCCAGCTGAGTTTGGAGCTGTGAGAACAGTCCCCAGCCACTGGGGTGAAGTCACGGGGTGGCTAGTATTGGTCCCAGCAGCAGCGGGCATCCAGAATGCCTGCTGGATCCCATTGCTGGGAACATCAGAGGACTTTGATGGAACTCTCCCGGTGTTTGCAAAATGTTTGGGGTTTGCGAAACCACAAATGCCTCTTTCTCGGCCACTTCTTTCGCCTTTCATCCGCTTTGCCCTTCCTGTGTGTGCAGAGAGATGGAATCCATGTGTTCCAAGGGCCCTTTGTTGAGTTCGCCACAGTGTGAATATTCTAGGAGATTGTTGGAAGTTCCCAGGGTCGGGGTCCTCTGCCCTTGAGGGAAGATGCATTCGCTATGAGGTGTGCGTATACTGCCACAAGGATATGGGGTGGTGGCCATGGCTCTCCCATCCTTTCCTTAGAGAAGGCACAGTCTGACTGCATATGGTGAGTCCAAAACAACTTTTTCTCTGGTGATGCAGCTCTCTGATCCCAGCTACTTGGGAAGTTGAAGCAGGAGGATCACAGTTTCCAGCTCAGTGGGCTAACGGGGCTATTAAAGTTCTGCCTGGGCAACCTAGCCAAACCCTGCCTCAAAAAAAAAGGGAGGTAGGACATTGGATTGCTGGTAGAGGTCTTTCCTAGCATGCCATGAGACCTTGTATTTCACCCCGCCTCCCAGCACCACATGCAAAGAGAGTCTAACAGCTGGAGGGGGATGGGTAGGGGGAGCATGCGCAGAGCCTGAGCCTCTGAAACTTAGCAAATTCAAGGAGTCCAAGAGATAAGGGTCCTTTCCCATCACTCTGAGTAGAGTCTCCCTGTCCCCTTCAAGTGTAGAAAACAAAACCAAAAAAAAAGGGGGGGGCATTTTTCCCCCTGATCATTGCAGGCAACGAAGAACAGATAAAATTGGAAATACTTCAGCTCAGTAAGAGAGTACCCACAATGATTGTGTCAAGCCCTTGTTCAGCCTCTAGACTGCAAAACTCTAGTGACCAGAGTTAAGAGTAAACCACTGTGAGAGTTCCCTGCCAAAGCATGCTTCTGTCTCCTTCAAGGGCGATGGCGTCATAGCATGTTGAATTCAGCCTGTTCACACACCACTGCCTCGCAGTCATCTTGCGTGTCCTTGAACGGTCTTTGTGGGTGCCATCTCCTGTGGTGGCTTGCTATTCTATTCTGCTGGAAGGCTGCACTCCAGTTTCCTTATCCATTCTTGGTCACCTATGCAGTTCCCAGGTTTTTGCTCTATAAATGTACAAAGCACCTTTGGAACAGCAACTGTTTGTGTTTTGGATTTTTTTTTCTTTGATTTCTAGAAGTTGCTTACAATGTTCAAGGATAGACTATAAAAAGGTGTTACCAAAACCCATCTGCAAAGCACGGCTGTCACAGACTGCAGGCCAAGGGCTATGTGTGATGCATGCAGGACACTCTGGTTATGACCATACCATTGACAACATCAAGGTTATATCCTTGAGGATCTTACTGGATGTGGGAACCCACAGCATGCAGCAATAGCCCAATGGGAGGGATGCTGTACCCATGAGGATCTATCTACAGATTTGGGGATGGGGTATTATTCTGTGTATATTCATCCTCCGTTTTTCAGAACACTCCTCGGGATCCTTTCATCTACACAGCTGCCCTTTCATGGCTCATTTGGGGTATGTGGTGAAGTGGACTGGTTTTGTTTTCATACTAGAAAACATTTCCGAAAGCGTCATTCACACGTGCAAGAGAGATGGTTTGATTCAGGGGAACTTGGGGTAGGGTCTAGCATCTGCCAGAACCCACACTCCACAGGAGTAATACAGATGTTGGCAGTATTTGTCACCCATCCTCGAAGGGATAATCTGTTTACATGCGCATCTGTCCTTGGCAGCACGAACCTGTTGTCAGAACACTGTGTGATATATGGAGATGGCAGCTGGTGATGCAAGCCATCATTACCTCATCCCACTGCCGGAGCCTCCATCCTCAGAAGGGACAGCCAAACTGCCGGATGGGACTGGCAAGCAGAGTCAGGCACTCTCTAATGCCTAATGCTGGCACTGAGGGCTGCAACTCGGTGTGCGTGTGGAAGATCATGTGTGGTGAGATATTTTGTTTGTGATCTAACAAATAAAGCCTGCCTAAAGATCAGAGTGTGGAGCTAGCCACTAGTTAGCCATAGAGGCTAGTCAGTGGTGGCACACACTTTAATCCTAAGGCAGAGGCAGATAGATCTCTGTGAGTTCAAGGCCACCATAGGCTAGGTGAGATTGATTCAGTCTAAAAGAGAAACAGAGCCAGGCAGTGGTGGCTCACAGCCTTAATCACAGTACTTGTGAAGAGTCACTCTTCTTTAATCCCAGTACTAAGGAGGTGGAGACAGGAAGGGATATGGTTAGACAAAGAAAGGAATATAAGGCAGGAGAGACAAGAGCTCATGGCATTCAATCTGAGGATTCAAGGAGACAGGATCTTGCCCCCTTCCATCTGAGGATTTGGTAGAGGTAAAAAGAACTCTAGTGGCTGGCTGCTCTGCTTCTCTGATCTTTCAGTTTTCTTCCCCTAATATCTGACTCTGGGTTTTTATTATTAAGGCCAATTAGAATTCACACTACAATCATGAGTATCTGTTGTGTGTGTTTTTTTTTCCCCACCTTATGCTAATCACTTCTTTTTGGCTAACTTGTCCAGGGAGAAAAAAAAGAGGACCCCTTGTCCTGGCAACCCCCTATTCAGGCATCTATAATTACAGGGCTTCCACAAACTCAGCTTGTTTAAGGAGTTCAAAGATTTTGTCTGGACAAGTGAGTTCTGGGCTTATGATTCATCAGAGTCACCTTGCCCTGGGGTCCCTCTCTCTTCTGCAGCTTGAGTGACCACATCTCCAGCCGAGCCTCTACGTACATCAGGCCATGCATCGGCTCGGTAGCTCCCTCTACATCTTACCTGGCTGGTTAGCAGGTCTGTGTGCTTACACTCCGGTTCCGGTTGCCCTTTCTCCGGGTCCAGCAGAGTTTTTCTTCCTTTCAGGCTCCTGGCTT